TAACATGTTTTGGATTGTTCAAGGACTTATTTGTTCCAAAAATTGTCCAATGACTTATTTAACATTTTTTGGAATGTCTAAGGACTTATTTAACATATTTTGGAATGTCCAAGGACTTATTTGTTCCAAAAAATTGTCCAAGGACTTATTTAACATGTTTTGGAATGTCCAAGGACTTATTTGTTCCAAAAAATTGTCCAATGACTTATTTAACATGTTTTGGAATGTTCAAGGACTTATTTGTTCCAAAAAAAGTCCAAGGACTTAATCATTTTAAACAAGAAAGTTTATTAGTTTTGTTGTACTTTTCCCTTGTTTTATATGTATTCAGTTCATAATATGAAAAATTTTTGCTGTATTTTTGTTCATAAACACATATGAAAATACTTACATTATGAAACAAATATATACAAAACAAAACACATTTTGAAACAATTATATGTTAATCAACACACTAAATTTAAGTCGTCGATCGTGTGAAATAACACATGATACATTGGTTTTCAAGATTATCAAAATTTTATAGGTTTTCAAATGGGGTCTGGTTTACGTCTATCCATAAAAGGGTTGTTTGTTTACCTCTTGATAGTTCCATTAAGAGGCAACCTCTGTATCGTTAAGAGGTGAATCTTGTTTGACAAAAAAAATCTGCTTCTTAATGGTTTTAAAACCCTSTAAATAATTTTGTATCATGAATCTCCCTTAACTATTAAGAGCCCTAATTTCATTGTACACAATTATCAAACAATTATATTTCATTTTGCATTATATCATGATAGCCTCTTAATTATTTTGACCACTTAATCATTCTGTACCAAACCATTCATCAATTTCCAAACAACCCTTAAATAAATCTAAAACCCTAATTTTATATTTGTTCTTCAAAATCATTTTCTTGGGATTTAAATATGATTATTTAAATGGTAAAAACAAGATAAATTAGAATAAAAAACAAGATAAATTAGAATAAAACTACAAAATTAATTATTATAATTTTAACAATAAAATTTGCAAACATCCCCGTCACTACAACAGTTTATAAGCATTGCCAATTTGTACGGTACAACATTCTAAAGCAAGGGCAAATTCGTAATTATATAATAGTTAATTAATTATCATTGAAGATGTAAAAACCGGGCCAGTTGGGTCGGGTTGACAATGCCGGGTATATGGGCTCCATTTTTGGCCTTCAGAAGAGCCGAAACCTCGGCGTAGCTTTCAAACTTTCTTTTCTCACCCGGCTTCGGCTCGGACGTCTTTCCCTTTTGGGTAACAGATGGTTGTTTCATCGGCTTTCTAAGATCGGCTGAATGAGCCGCGGCAGAAACAGGCAGTGCATCAGCGCGAGCCGGATCCCACGGCTGACCAAACAGCGTGCCTTTGGTGAGGAACTCATGAGCCAGGTAGCCAGCCAGGAGTTTATTATCAGCCGGAGGTCGAACAGGCTTGGAAGCTCTGATCGGAGGCGTGGCTCGGGGTATGATCGGCTTGGCTAACTTGGGTATTATTGTTGACGGCTTGAGAAAGTCAAACGTTTCCTCTCTCTTTTTTGGCTTATTTGAAGCCAAGGGAGTCAATTGTCTGGGCGTGTGGCTCATTGTAGCTTGCATGAGCGTCAGCCACGTCAGCAACTACCGTATCCGAACTTTCCGAAAATACCCCCAAATTGACGGATTGAAAAAGAACAAGCGAATAAGAAATCCAGGGGTAAAATCGTAATTTACCACCATAAATTTTTTGGAAATTTTCGGATCAGAAAGAGAAAAATATAACCGAGAATCAAGTGGATCTGCTACCAAATCGGAGCACGGCGGAGAACGGCGGAAGAGGGAGGTGGGCAGCGGAGGAGGGGAGGGGGTGGGGGGGGAGGAAAGAGAGAAAAAGATAAGAGAAAAAGGTGTKGGGGAGTGTAGGATGCGGTGGGTTGTTTATATAGGGAAATGATTAACCTATTGCCCCTGGTTTTGCTCAAAATTACAGATAAAACCGGAAGGCATCTCAAATGACAGAAATGCCCTAAATATATTTTCATTTAACCCCCCTTAAATAATAAGTAATGTCGATTCACCCAAAGAATTGACCAAAATAGTCAATTATTTCTAACCGACTTCACTTTTTAGCCATTTTTTAAAAATAATTCTTATTTTAGCCAGAATTTTACATAAAACGCCTTATGCATTTACGTAAAGCTTGTAATTAAATTTAAAAAAATACGCAAATTTATGTAAGAAACCCATTCTGACAGAAAATTTTTTAGTCTTGAAATAGGCTTTAYGAAAACATATAAGACATTTACGTAAACTCTGGCTAAAATAAAAATTTGGTTCAAAAAATGACTAAAAAGTGAATTTAATTAAAAATATTGACTATTTTARTAAGTTTCCCCTTCTTTCTCTCTCTCAAAAAGCAGAGTACATGAAAAATAATTTGAGCAAGTACATTTTTTAAAAAATTATAAAATATTGAAATATCGTTAAGGTTTCGTGAAAAAATTACTCTGTTTGTTACTTAAATTGAGTGTCTACATTTTTATTTTAGTTTGTCTCAAAATAAATGTCAATTTTCAAGAAGTTGTCACTTTCTTATTCTACTCTATATTATAAATAGTAAAAGTGTCTGTTAATTACTTAAAAAGTGTAATAATTACACATATAAAACTATGTGTTATTTTCACTATAAACATTTATTTTGGGACGTAAAAAGTGCAAATTAATAAAAGAATATCAACGATTCTCGTTTGGTCTGCGGGATTTGATAGGATTTAGAATTAGATTCCATTCGAATGTCGTATTTGGTTTAAAAGAAGAACGGAAAAATTGAAATTCTATCGACATCAGATTTGAAAATTCCATGTAGGCTGTTGATATTTCACTGGGTTTCAGAAATTTTGTTTGTAATAATATTTTAAAATATGTTATATTTTATAATAATCAATTAATAAAAGGTAATTTCATTACTTTATAATTTGTTTTCATAAATTATATATAAAAGAATTAAATTTAATTTAATTCCAAATAAGCAAATCCTACGAACCAAACACACAAAATTTTCCAAAATTTTCCAAATCCAAATCACCCCATGAATCCAAATCCCTAGAAACATTTCATCAAACCAAACGCCCAATAAAAGCATTATAAAATGCAAATATCAGGTCTCAAAATTGCGCCTTAATCGAGTCGTATTTAACCCTAGTTATAATTAGGATCTGATATCAGAATCTTGTATGTTTAATTTATCTGCCATATAATACGCTTAACTCGAGACGATACAGCCTGGTTTGAGGGTTGCTGGTTAAAAAAACCCATTTTTGCTCAAACAGGTACAATCATACCTGCATTCGATAGGTAGAATAAATGCAAATGGATAATGTGTAAAAAGCCATATGTATCTTACACGTTAAAAATGTACTATCAATCTAAATTGACTTTGAAAATAAAACTATGGTCTTCTTTTCCAATTCCTACAGAATATCATAAAAGCTGTAAGATTCTTTCAATGCGTTTTTATAAAAATTAATGCATAATTTATCTGTTTTTGCAGTTTTAAAATAACTCMGGTTTTCATTGAATATTTTCAGTGATTAAGATAAGACCTAAGAATAAATAAGATTCTGATAAAAATCGAACATATGATCTCTACGATTACGATAAACAGCGTACCGTTAATAAATTTGTGATAAAAGAAAATGACTATTTTACCCTTTAAACAAATTTAAATTTTAATATGTAGAAAATTTAGTGAGAAAAAAGATCTCATAAAAAGGGGAGAATTATTCCTTTTAGGTTATTGCCTTTTTAGGAACAAATATTCCTCCTACGATTTATTTATATTTGAAATTAATATTTTTTTTAAAATTATTTCCATATGAATTATTTATACTTTAAAAAACGAAAAATAAAGTTAACTTTATATATTGTGATAATTATGAGAATTATTATCGTAAGGTATTCTTTTACCTGATATTTTTTTTTTCAATCTAAAGCTATAATTTAATGTATTGATTAACATATATTTGTTTTATTATGTGTTTGTTTCATATGTATTCGATTCATTATGTGAAACTTTTTAGTTGCATTTTTTTATTAACCTGGATATCCAACCCGCTATGCGAGCCGACTAATCCCATGATGACCACCTGCTTTGCAGATAGCCCGGAGCCACCGTATTTGAACCTCCGTGGCCACAAGTGGATTTTTATTCCTCCTTGGATTTGAACTTAAGATCTCCTCGTACTTTTGACCTTTGGAGCCAAGCTCAAACCAATCAGGCACCACCTTTGTGGTTTACATTTTTTGTTTTACAAACACATAAAAATTGTTCACATTGTGAAACAAATATATGTTAATCAAAACATTAAATTAGAAGTCGTAGATGGAAATTGATCATGTGGAATAGCACATGATACACCAGTTCTTAAAGTTACCACGATTTTTATGGATTCTCAAATGAAAGCCTCCATGGAATATATTGTGTTTTTATATTTTAAAATAATATAAGAAAATATTTCTTTAAGTTAACTAAAAAAATATATAGTATTTCTTATTTGTTAAGTTTTTAATATAATTTTAAGTTTTAAACTATTAATAGTAAGTGATAAATGTGTTTCAATTTATTTCTTATTTTCAGTAGTAGATATTCTGACCCAACAATACCTGTTTGGGTAATGTTCACTGTCAAAATTACTGAACGGGTAAGTCGTCAATTCATAAATGGATTATTTAATGCTATGTAATGTACTTTATCTGAGATATTAATTAATATTTATATTATATTATATGTTTTCAAATAAATATAATATTTAATTTAATATATTAAAAAGGAAAAGTAAAATTTGATGATAATATAAGAAAACACCATACATAATATATGTCAATTGTTGATACGGGCAACGCCTCTCTATAAAAACAAAAATAATTAGGTCATCTTAATTCACCTAATATTTCTCATTGTTCGATCAGATATTATCAGGTTGATGTTAGATAAAGTTATATAGACAGTATTTTTGTTAGAAGAGTAAGATATAAATGCATATCTGTTTAGAAATTCCAACTGAAACGAAGTTAGGGATAAATGTGTTCAAAAACATTAGTACGTGATTATAAATTTAATATTGGTCGTAAAATTGATAATCAATTGTAAACTCCGTCTTTTAAGGTTCACTGACTTTATGGTTTTGCTACTGAATCCCGACATAATCTTATTTATTTTGTTTAGGATTATTATTGTGTTGTGGCATGCAGAGCACTCGCTTACATTGTTTGCATAACGATTCTTCACCGTCTTCAACATCTTTAGAGAAAGACGGTGGTTAGTAGTATTTGCTATTGTAGACGATGAACCGATGGACCCCATGTAATTTTCTTGTTATATGATTCACCACTGAGACGATGAAGGTGCGGTATAAACCGGAGAACCCTAAACCTGGCAGAAGGAAATACAGTTGTTCATGTTTGGGACCTAACGTATTAGATTCTACTGTAGGGTCTAATATGAATGCCACTGAGGATATTGTTGAGCTGGATTATACGTAAAATTCCAATACTTTTTACAACTATGTGGATTACACATTTTATTATACTACTAAAGATTCGTGAACATGGAAATTAAATGTCGTGTTTGTGATTTTCAATCTAGCAATCGTACTGATGCAACTGTGTTCTGGTTTTCGGATAAAAATGGAAGGTATTTAAAACTTAAAATTTGAGCAGTATGGTTGATGAACAACGACCTTCATTTCAATCAAAACTTAAAACGCTTCATCAACATGAAAATCGTATGGGGGCACGAGACTTCACATTCAAATGAATTGACCACGGTTACTTTTGAAAAACGCAAGAGTTTAAAACTTTACAGTTCGATTTCATATTTGTATTCTATCGAAGACTGTTTAGTTTTTCCAGAATCAAATTTTGATTTCGGGATCTAGTTACAAGATTACATGACATCTAATAGGAGTTTGAATTCACGTATCACGCCTTCTAACAGGATTTCTTAAAGACGTATCACGCATGATTAGTATATGACATATTATTCTTAAGGGATATAAGTGCTTTACGTGCGTGATACGTAAACAGGGTATGCCGTTTTGATTGATTTTTTTTTACTACTTGAATCTACTGTTTTACTATCTTGACAWCATCTCCAACATTTTCTCCATAACGGAGACGTAAAACTCAATCTCTAAAATGAATTACATTAAACTCCAATGAATCATATATGTTCGAGATTACAACATCAGTTTTATCGTCAAAATATTTTTATACATATAATAAAGTATTAGCTATCTTTTATAAATATTTAATATCAACGTTTTTTTTTTTTGAAGTATATAATATTTATATATGACAAATGTAACAGATAAACCCACACACCTTCCTCAACTTAAGTGAGGTTTAAACCCTGACCTCCTAAGAAGCTAATGACTCATATACCGTTAAGCTAAAGATCATTTGGTAATATCAATCTTTTTTTTGTTGAAAAAATAATATTTTTTATGGTAATCAAATTATTTTTTTGCAAATTCTCCAAATTTCGAGAATTGGACTCTCTCTCTCTCATGCATTATGCGATTTAGCAAAATTTATCCAAAATCTCTATTTTTTCTCTATTTTAACGAATCTATTAGAGATGCTGTTTCTTTTTATTACTTTGGGCCGTTTACCAAACGCTTATCCGGGTAAACGTTTATCAAGTCACAAACCCTTATCGGATGAATATGATAAAAATCAATAATCTTACCCGGTAAGAACGAGACAAGGACCAATAGTCTTCTTACCCGGTAAGTGAGGACTATAACTCTTACTATGGTAAGCGGTTACTGTGTAAATTGTTGCATACGATGTCGTTTTGGTAGACTAAATCTTACATGGTAAGCAACTAATAGTGTTAAATTTTACCCGTAAACGCTTATCAGGTAAGTGTTTAGTTAACAACCAATTTGTTCACTTTTTTTTCTTTAAGAAACTTTTCTCATGTTGTTCAATAACTTTTTGAAGCCTCTCAGAGCATCTCCAACACATATGATATGTTTTAATTTTCCAAATTTGAAGATTTCTCTGTTCTTTTCCTTTTTCCTATTTTAGAGGAGAATTTAACGTAATTACTGAAACTTTTTTTTCAAATTTTTTAAAAATTTCTAAAATAGCATAACTGTTGGAGATGTCTTAATTCTGATAATCAAGAACCATAATACTCGTTCACCAAAATAAGTGTCTACATTTGTGGGTATTTTAGTTTGTCCTAAAATAAATGTCCGATTTGAAAAGTAAGTGGATATATCTGCTTTCTACCTCTCAATTATGCTATCAAGAAAATTCATTCTCTATAACTAAGGGTAAAATAGTCTTTTTTATTAATTAAAAAATATAATAATTACATGTTTTTAAAAGTGTGCGCCTTTTTCATTAAAGACATTTAACTTTGGGTCCAAGTGTTAATAATCCTTTTTAAGTAAAAAAAATATATATCGTTTTATGAGTTATTCTCTTCATCTCAAAATAATTGTCCATAATTGAAATGACATACAATTTTAGACATGTATAATTATTACATATTCTCTTTTCTTAACCAAATGACATATTTACCCTTATTTCATTTATCTCTTTTCATATATCACAACTCTTAAGGGGTTTTTGTTTATCTCTTAATAGTTTTATTAATAGATAACCTCTGAATTATTAAGAGGTGAATCTTGTTTGGTAAAAAAAAGTCTGTCTCTTAATGGTTAAAAAAAATCATCTGAATGATTTTGTATTAGGGAAAATTGCATCAAAATGAAACCAACTTTCAAATGATTCCTATTTTGGAGAACCAACTTTTAAAATTGTCATTTAGAGGTCTTTATCAAACTTTTTGTTTATTTAATTGTCTGGTTGACCTATTAATGCTGACATCATCCAGATCTTTTGCCAACTAAGATATTCCACGTCACATTAATTTTTTATTTTAAAACTAATATAATTGTTGGTCATCCCTTAACTATTCAGCACCCTAATTACATTGTAAACAATTACCAACAATTATATTTCTTTTTACGTTATATTATGAGAGTCTGTTAATCATTCTTATTACTTAATTATTTTGCACCAAACTATTCAACAATTGTCAAACGACCGATAAAACATGTTTTAATAAAATATAAATTTGAAGATTCATTTATTTATTTTAGAAGTTGAGAACAAACATGAAATAGAAATGGAAATTTTCCTACAAATCAAACGTAAACCTCGCAAATCTGGTCCCTCTCTCGTTGAACCCCAACAATGGCCTTAAACTCTAACCTCAATCTTCACTCTTTCACTCCTTTATCTACACACACCAATTCGATTCGTTTCCCTGCTTCTATTTCAAAGATCGGTTACATCTTCCGCCCTCCAATTCTGCGTGCAATTTCGAAAAACTCCGATGTAAACTTAGAAGACGATAGAAAACCCCAAAAGAATTCCAGATCTAGAAGAAGATTAAACCCCGAAATCAGCGAGAATTCGAAAAATGACGAAGAAAAACCCTTCCCCTCAACGATTCCCAGAAAACCGAGACGTGGACGGCGAAGCGAAGCGGCTGCCGTCGAGGATTTCATGAGGGATTCATTAGAGGAGACATTTGCTGCCATTAGTGAACAGAATTCGGAGGTTATGGGAGGTAGGGAGGATGTAATTAAGGATAGACTTGAAGAAATTGACGATGGCGGTGGTGGTGATGATGAGGAGGACGGCGGCGGCGGCGGCGAGAAGAATAAGAAGGGAATGGTGGTGGAGGAAGAGGATCCCGATTGGCCGGTGGATGCTGAAGTAGGGTGGGGGATTAGGGCTTCTGAGTATTTCGAAAAACACCCGATCAAGAATGTGATGGGCGAAGATGGTGTTGAGATCGATTGGGAAGGTGAATTGGATGATAATTTGGTGAATGAGATCAATTCTTTGGAATGGGAGAGTTTTGCTTTCCATCCGAGTCCGTTGATCGTGCTCGTTTTCGAACGATATAATCGGTACGTTTGCTTGCGTAAATTTCGACCATATGTTTACAGTTTTGAATGCTAGCAATTTGTGTTTTTAGCTACAAATCATATGGTTTGATGATCGATATGTGTTCAATGTTGTTTTGCACTGATCAATTTGCTTTATTGATGTTCGAATCGAAACTTTGGACCCCTTTCTGTTGGTGGGATATACGGAGCTCGTTAGGTTTGGTTTATTATACGATAGTAACACGCATGTTGTGTTGACGGATACATATATGATCTTGAAACTTTTCACGTTCTTGCGAATTGACCCATATATATATATATGTATGTATATATAGACGAATGATTGTGTGAGAATAGGAGTTAAGGAGACATTTACACCTTGATCACTTTTAATATCAAACCAACTTATGAATTGCGTTTTAGACGGAAATCGCGCCTTCCATCCTGCGTTTCCCTGCTTGAGACTCTTTTTATCCTAGTCTAGCTGTCTAGATTAGGGGTTGTGGGTGGGAGTGGGAGAGACCGACAAAAGGAGGATTAGAACGTCTACACCATATTCCCTTCTTATTTTTTGCTGCAATACAACCCTCGAGACTTTTCTATTTTTGGAGAAAGTAGGAAAGAGAGCATAGATTTCTTGAGAGAGAGAATTTTTTATTTTTATTCCATTAAAATTTAAAAGTTTGTTGGGATAATGAATGTATTTAATATTTTATTAATGTTGTAACGTCTAAAGTCAGAAATTATGGAGAAACTGTTTGAGATGCACTTAGAATCTTGAAATAGATGGAGCTTGTGACGTTTTCCATTAATACCCTCGAGATGAATGATGCTTTCCTTTTTTATCATTTTGTTGGCGGAAAAGCAATTTACTTACAATACTTTCATAAAAAGTATGCAATAAATTACGAGTTGATGTGTTATATTCACGTGTTAATGGCAATTTGTGTGTGTTTTCGCTTTCTGAATATCGGTTTTCATGGGTCTTACAGGGCAAGCGAAAATTGGAGAGCGTTGAAGGAGTTAGAGAAAGCCGCAAAGGTGTACTGGAATGCCAAAGATCGGCTTCCGCCTCGGGTATGCATATGCGTAAATGACAAATTTACCCTTAACAATAGATAGAGTGATAATTTCTCCGTCTCGTTAATTAAGGGTAGAGTTGGAAAGTAGACAACTTATTTTGGGGCAAATTAAAATAGAAATGTGGAGAGTTTAATGTTCTTGGTTTGTGAATGCAGACGGTCAAGCTTGATATGAACATCGAAACCGACCTCGCGTATGCACTCAAGGTTCGGGAATGCCCACAACTCGTGTTTTTGCGAGGAAACCGAATCCTTTACCGGGAATCACGTAAGACAGTTGTTGGTTGTTAGTTGTCGTTGAATGATTTTTGATGATTCGATTTCGATTTGCAGAGATTCGAACAGCCGATGAGTTGGTGCAGATGATAGCACATTTTTACTACAAAGCGAAAAAACCTTCATGGATGAAAGATGCAAACATGTATTCATGATTCGCCATTTCATCGCGATGAAACCCGTAACCGACATGTATTTGTTGAATTCTCTTTGTTTTATTTATGTATCGAGTCTTGATCGTAGATATAATTTAATACAAATGAAACCAAGCAGCAGCAATAGCTCGATCCATGGATATCGAGTGTTATTCCTCCTCTGTTGGTCGCTCGTAAACTTTTGATTCCAGATCAATCGGAAAATTTTCCGTTATCCATTGCCTGAGCGATTTTCTTCGATATGCAATATGCGGTTGCTTGTATCGTGATCATAGGGTTTATGCCAATGGCAGTTGGTAGTAAACTGCCGTCACATACAAATAAGCCTTCGGCTTCCCAGCTTTCGCCATTTATATCCACCGAACCTTCGTTTTCATTGCATCCCATTTTACAACTTCCCATCTGATGGGCAGAGGAATATATCGTCCAGTTTTCGCCTTTCGATCTTGGGCCGCCAACCGTCCCGATGGTGTCGAGAAACTCCTCCAAATCGGCGGTTTTGATGCCTTGGCTTTTAATTCGTTGGCCGTCGTTCCGGAAAGTTCCAACTTCTTCGGCTCCGGCGGAAACGAGTATCCTCAACGCTTGCCGTAAACCGACTCTCAGATTCTCTTTGTCGGACTCGTTAAATCTGTATCTGATCTTTCCTTCTTCCGTAACTTCACCGGAGCCTTGATCTTTCACCAGTGCGAAAAGCTTCACGATTCTCGAGTATTTTACCATTTTGTCCTTGATGTCGGCGCCGGAGATCCAGGGAAACAACGATGCGAATGACGCGGGGCCCATAGCGGCAACTTCTATGATTGCCCGGGTTTCGTTTGATGTTTCTCCGGTGGACGTAACTTTATGCAGAGACGTAAGGATTGGTCCGTCATAACTCTTCCCATCATCTGCCCCCGGCACCGACGACTCCGGGAAGAGTCCCCAGGCTAGTAGAACGGGATGAAGGTGGAGGTTCCGGCCAATGTGGCGGTTTGTGAGCCCGCTCGAAACCATCAACGGCGGCGTCAAGAGGGAACCGCCGGCGGAAACCGTCACTCGTGCCTCGAACCGGAGTTTTCTGGTAATGGTGCTGCTTTCGGCGGTGGCTATCACAGCTCGACATCTTTTCCGGGGGTTTCCGTCTTCGAATACGAACCGCTCTGCTTTGCAACCAGTGAATATTACAGCACTGTTTCCGACAGCATCGACAAGCCAGGTGGAATCAACGCCTTTCTTGTCTCCCGTTTTACAACCGTAAGAACAAGAACCACAATAATGATCCTCCGACGAGTTTCTAGGAATCGCCTCAGCCGTCAACCCAAGATTCAGACAGCCTCGCCGGAGAATTTTGTTCTGAAATCCTTCCTCGGTACAGTTCTCAGTCACACCGATTCTCTTGCAGACAACTTCCATTGCCGATCGGTAATCAGAGGTCCCAAACATAGGGATCTTTTTATCCACCGCCCAATCCTCAAGAACATCCTCCGGTGTCTTGATAGCGGCCGCCCAGTTCACTACGGAGCCGCCGCCAAGAGTTGACCCTGCTAAAATCGTAAACTTCCCATCGACGGTCGAAAGTACGCCGCCGTTTTCATATAGTTCATTCATGGATGGTCCTTCAAGAAGTGAGTAATCTTCAGGGACATAATAGTGACCTTTCTCGAGCACCACCACTTTTCGGCCGGAGTTGGCAAGAACTGCGGCGGCAACACCGCCGCCGCAACCGGAGCCGACGATTACGACGTCACATTTGATGCTGTAAACTCCATTAATGGCATCTTCTGCAACTTCTAGACCTTTTGATTTGACCAATTCCATGAAGGTTGAATCACTTTCTTTCTCAGTTTCCACGATGCCCTTCTCAAGTGGTCTCTCTTTTCGGGTCGTGGCTGATTTGGGGGGTTCGGTTTGGTACCCGATGGCATCCCAAAAGGGGTTTTCTGAATTTTCATCACTCTAACAAGAAATAATTAGGGGCCGTTTACCTAAACATTTACCCGGTAAGCGTTTACCGGTAAAATTCAAAACTATAGTTTACTTACCAGGTAAGATTTGAGTCCACTAAAATGACATTATATGTAATAATTTACCCGGTAAACGCTAACCATGGTAAGAGTCGTCACCATCACTTATCGGGTAAGACTCTCGGTCCTAGTTTCGCTCTTATCGGGTAAGATTCTTGATACTTGCCATATCCATCCGCAAAAGTAATGTAACTTGATAAGCGCTTACCCATGTAAGCATTTAGTAAACGGCCCTTTAATTAGTAAAAAATGTATCTTTAAGATATTTTTAAAGTATATAATTTTCAGTTAAAAAGATATTTTTGAAGCATATAATTTTCAAAAAAAGTCGTTTTACGCATTTGCATAAACTAGGGCTAAAATAGGAATTTGGTTTGCAAAAAAGTGAATTTAGTTGGATATGTGAAAGAGACTAGAAAAGAGCTTTTGTGAGTTGAGATTTGAAGGTGAAGAACTTACCAAAGAGAAGAAAACGTATAAGCACATAAGCTTAAGCGCCCAAAAGACGAGTCGGAGAGGAATGAAACTTGATTCCATACGCGACCATTTTTGAAGAACTTTTTCTCTTTTTTCCAAATGCAAATCTGAGAAGCTGTGAAGAAATGGCCATTTGGTGTCAAAAGAAAGAAACCCGCAAAGCAAAAGGGTCCCCAATTTGGTTGAAAGCAGCATCAGAACCAATTTCACCAAGAACATTCCACTGGATGGATATCTCTTCGCCATTTTCTCTGCAACCTAACCCACACAACACTTTCTTAATTCAAAATTTAGGTAAATAATAATTGTTATAGTCCCACATCAGCTAGACTTCACCATTTCATTCCCCTCCCTTTCTCTCTCTCTCTATATATATACACACACACACAAAAAAAGAGAGAGAGAGAGAGAGGGGGGAGGTTCATACGAGAATGTTAACTATTTAATAGATAATGAAAATGGCCATATCATGTGCAAAATTACATATTTTACATTAATGACCAAAAGAAGGTGCGTCGGGCAACTTCAACCATGTCTTCAGTCATGAGGTAAAGTTGCGTGAATCACATGTGATTATGTACGTGATGTTAGTGTAAATCACATGTATTCTCAAAATAATAATAATAATAATAAAATAATAGTATTATTATTTAAGTCAATAATCAAATACTTTGAAGAAGCTATTGGGTAGTCAAAGCGTTGGAATTTGATGATTGAAGGGTGTATGAATAAGTCAAAATGGTTAAGTTTATTTACATTATATTCATACTCATTCTGTAGAATATTTCAAATATGACATGCGCTCTTATCTGTATGCATAATATTAATGGACTTGGTACAACTTGTACATGTTCTTGGGCTATTTACTGGATTAACTATTAAACTTTTAATTAATTATTAAAGGCATAAACATGTATTAATTAAATACATTGAAAAAGAAAATACATAAAATAATTAATTTGTCATTTATTATATAATATTATTTAATGTTTCACTAATTTTTTTTATCTAATACCAACGTCTAAACTACTTGCTTCGAAAACTTTGATATATTCTCCATCATTCATCTACGATCGACTCTTATGATTATTCCATCCTCGCATGAATTCTATTTTTGTGTTAGAATATAATAGATTTTTTTGTTATTAGCTAACAAAACGATCATCTTTTAAAAAAATTACCAACTATATGAAACGGTATAATTTTTATCTATATTTAAAATAATAAAACTATAATTTTTTTCCTTCATATTTGTTCTTTATTATCTAATATCGAGTACATAAATCTTATGTACTCTTCTATTGTTAAAAGAAGAATAAGATCTCAAACTATAACTAAATGAGTTCAGAAAAGTTTGTTTTAACCCTAACGAAAAAAAAGAAAGTAATGGAAGAAGAAAAATATTTTGTTCTATGAGACTTTTTAAGGGGAAAAAAAAGAAAAAAAAAATATATCAAACTTTATTTGTATTTCATTATTTTTCCTAAAACACGAATATAAAAACTTTATTTTTTTACATTTTTTTATTTTTCTTTTTCTTTCTCATTCTTTTTTTTTTCTTTCCAAATTCGAGAACATAGTATAAAAGTTAAAAAATGATGTTAAAAATATTAACATGAGGTAACATAGAAAACTGACCTATTTACATTGACTTACATAGTGTTACTTGGAAATCAGAAGAATTAACATTGTGACTCCAAATGATGTCATTCTATGTACCAAAAATATATCATAGAATGTTTTTTATGAATAAACAAATTGATGATGCTACATAAAAATGTTCTAGTAGATAATATTAATTTAAAAATGATTATTGATCGATTTTACGTCTACAAGTACTCGAAAAACGATTTTATATAAATTCAATATTATTTTTTATGATAAAAACAATATATTAAGAAAATATTATACTTATCGAGAGCCCTTTTTCACATATATAAAAGTTAATTTATAATATTTTGCTGTAAAATTTTAAATGTAAAAAAGATAATCTCCCGGTCTTAAGAAAAAAAAACATATTAGTATCACATAATCCAATATTATTTCTTGAATAACATGTTTTCCATCCTAGATATCCATCATCCAATGCAGTTGGATAAGCTTTAGATATATAACCCTCCAACAACAGTGTCCTTTTCCATCATATGGGAATACTCTGAGAACCTAATTGACAAGACAACTCTGCCAAATTTTGTTTTATAAACAGCAATATCCCTAACCATTTCAATCACAGAGTTTACGTAAATGGTTTATGCATTTATATGAAAGTCTTTTTTCACAATAGGCTTTACTGGAAAAATAAAAATTTCATGCCAAAAGTGAATTTATTTAATAACATCGACTATTTTGATCAATTTTCACAAAAACGATTGTAATTCATATGATTACTATAAGATATTTCTTAAAAATCGTATAATTCAGACACTTAATTAGTAATTTAAGTTAATTAAGTGTTAGATCATTCATAATCATAAATCATAATCGTATAGAAATATAAGAGATTATATTTCGTAAAAATTGGAAGAACGAGTAATTTTAAGTACGATTTCTGTTCATAATTTGTCAAAATTCATTCACTGTTATCGTTGTTATTTACGATTCTTAGTTTCGATGAAGAAGAAACCAGTAGAAGTCGTCGATAAATTAATAAAAAAACTGAATTAGAAAGATTAAGGAGAAGTAAAAATTCAAACCTCTTGAGGAACAGGATGCTGAGATCCAGAAGCAGAGTAGAAGAAATTAACAGCAGATTGATTGTGGTTAGGGTTAGGGTTAGGGTTAGAAGGTAGAGGAATGGGAGGGATAAAAGCTTCAGAAATGGCMGCTAATGATTGGATCTGAGAAGACGAGAAGCCATGAGTGTACTTACTTCTTCTTCCTCCACTCAACGATGGATGATGATGGTGGTTGTGGTGGTGATGCTGACGGCCGTTTCTTCCTTCTTCCGCCATTGTTGCTTCTTGTTTGTTTGTGTGCAGAATAATGAATATTTGTTATGAGGAGGATCCTTTGAATCTCTCTATATTTAATTGCACAACAATAAAACAGGTTTCCATGGGTCCATTAATTTCATTATATTATTATTAAAATTTAAAAATAAATTTTATTTATATCTCAGAAGTTGACAGAAATAATCAATCTCTACAACTAACGGTTTGGTTCACGTCGAATAATAAAAATAAAAATGAAAATTATTGAAACCATTAAACTTTTTCATTTTGAATGATTAAGTCTTTAAACTATTTTTTTAATAAAAAACATTAAACTTTTACATTTTGAATGATTAAGGCTTTGAATTTAAAAAAAAAAACCATTAAACTTTTACTAGTTGGTTAACGTAACTTTTTTTTGGTTAAAAAAATATAAGTAACCAAATTCTAAAAGCGTGACAGTTTATTTATTAAAAAAATGTTCAGAGACTTAATCAATCAACAAATGAGAAAGTTCAATGGTTTTTTCTTTGAAAAAGAGAGTTTAATGGTTTTTTTATTTTAAAAAATAGTTCAAACATTTAATCATTCAAAATGAGAAAGTTTAATGATTTTTTTCATTTAAAAATATAGTTCACGTACTTAATCATTCAAAATCAGATATTTTGTTGAGTTTTTTATTTATTTAACTATTCCCTTATAAATATATACTTTATTAACAAAAACTGAATATTAAACCATCTTCAATGTATATGTTATATTCCCTCTATTTTTTTTAATTCAAATATTATTTTATATTTTCTTTTTTTTTCCTCTATTTTAAAAAAAACGTAGAATAACTGTTGTAACAAAAAAATTTAAAGTTTTAAAATAACATAGATGTTGAAGATGCTCTTAGATCGATTTGTAATGCAATTTTTAACATAAACTTTGAACTGTTAAATTAGTTTTAGAAATTATTTAAAATTACCTTTTCATTATAAATAGTATTTTATTATTTATTAATTTCTTAASTGAAAAATCAATATAAAAGAGCTTAAAAATAAAATTAAAGTTCAATATTTTTACATTTTTTATATAAAATATTTATTAATTAACATAATAATTTCTAAGACAATTGCTAAAAATGTTTTGTCTGTAGTCTTTAATTTTTCTGTCAATAGTTTTTTGTTATTTTTTAAGAATAATTAATGTATTAAATATTTAAAATGCTACAAGAAGCGTACTCGCACAATGCAGTGAGATACATCGTGATTTTAATATTTCATTTTATCATTTATCTCAGTCGATGTCATAATATGGCTTTATGTGATTTTGAGAAAACGATGATGTTTTTATTTTTGAATAAAATATATGTTTGAAGATATCATAAAAATTTGACAAAAATATATCAATATTAGTATCAAATTAACTATTTGAAATTCCTCATTTTTTTGTGTAATTTTTTAATTCAA